AGCGTATGTAAGCGGTAAAGGGTGTCAATGCCCCCGTCGTTCCGTTCCTCCTTAGGATGCAGTCCCAAGCTGTGCTAACGCATTAATTTTTCTGTTGGCGATGTCACCGAGAAATGCATAGCTTCTCCTGAAGACGTTCTCCTTTTCAGGATGCTTGGCTGTGCCCAGGAGCAAAACTATTCTGGTGGGTTTAGGGCTCCCTGAGCAAATCTGTCTGAAGGGAGATTTGCTCGGGAGAGTGGAGCTGTCAGGCTGCATGGGCGTCTTCAGGGCAAGTCTAATTCGGGTTTGGTACCAGCCTTGCCCACCATGATGTTCAGCTTCCCTGTAGTCCCGTAGGTTGTCCTACAGAGCAATGCTTTTTTCAAAGTCCTTTTTTTTTTCCCCCCTTTCTTGTATCGCTGCCTACGCTCATTGTGAACCTCAAAAAAGCCATCTCCTTGACTCGCAAGAAAGAATTATCTGAAATGCGAATGTAGCAAAATTCTATCAAACAGCAATGTTTTGCTGTCTTGATCTCAGAGGAAAATTACGGTTCTCTGGGGACTGCCATTGCCATGCCTTTTTGTATATTTAAAAATACAGATCTATGAACTATGAAAACATTACATAAGACTATTTCTGTAATTCATATATAATAAGCCAGGCATGAAATTATTCTGATCCTTTGGGATGTAAACCACTTCAATTTTCTCAGTAGTCAAAGGGTTGTGTTTTGCCTCTTTCTTTGGCTGGTACTTGAAGCCCACAAATACATTTATTTTTTTAGGTCTTTGTCAGATTATTTTTCATGTTTTCTGTGAAGCACATGAGTCCATGTCTCATCATAATATTTTCCTAGTAAATATGGTTCACAGATGAAATTATGGGCCTGCTGAGGTCCGTGAGAATTTTGCTGTATATTTCAACAGAACCAGGATTCCATCCAGTTCTTTTAAACAAGTTGCTTTGTGCTAAACATTTCAGTAATAACTTTCTGACTCTGCCTGGGAACTCATAGGGAAGTGCTGTTTATGAACTGACATGTGGCGATCCTTAATTTATAGCAGAAAATGTATAAATGAAAAAATTGCAGATTAATTGTATGAAGTAATAAACCTGAAAGCGTCTACACTTCTCTATGAGCAGTTGCAAGTATTAATCCACAAAATTCTTAATCTGTTTTAGATGATGAGATCCCAGGCTCTAGATAAACCACATATGAGGTGATATGAATGTTAGGGCCCAATTCTGCTCCTGTTTGAAGTCAGCAATAAAATTTCTCTTGGCTTTAGGACTAAGAGCTTACAGATGATGAAAAGGAGAACTCAGCTTAGCAGGGAAATATGGAAAGAATAGATTTTTGAAGTATTTTGTGACTTTCAAAAAATAAATATTTATTACATCAGATCTCTCTGGTTCTGAACAAAGTAAGTGGGAATTGACCTAGGCATTCTGGTTGTAGTCGTCTGTTTGTTCAAAGGATTCTCAAAAGGATTTCTGGTTATGCCAATGCTTCTGTAACAGCCAGTTACAAGTACAGCCAGTACCAAGTACTGAAAATTTTGCAGAAATTTGGAATATGAGATTTTATAGCTCCTACCCAAGCTCCACAGTTATTACTCCTGCAGTGTTATGACTGTGACAAGGGAAAAAAACCCCAAACAATTACTTCAGGAGAGATTTCTTTTTGGTAAAACTTTAGGTATGGTAACAGTGATTTAGCTCTTCTGTGTTCTGGTTTTTTTGGCAGTAATAAAAAACCCCAACCCCGTTAAGGAAACATTCACAAACACTAATTCATAGACGGATGAACCACTCTAGTTCCTAACGTTAGCAAACAGAGGTGTCATCTTCTGTCACAAGCAAATGCGTTGCCTTGGGACCAGAGGTGGTGCAGAGCGCTTGTCCTGCACTTTGGCTGCTTTCCTTACTGAGGCAAACCACCTCATTTGCCTTGTATTTTGCATTTTTAAAAAATAATCTTAATTTATAAATACATTTTTAAGAAGTTACTATTAAAAGAAGGTCCTGCTTGAGCTGCTGTGGGGATCACAAAGTTCACGTGGGTCTGCGTTTAAACTGTGTTTAGCCTCAATGATTGGATTACTTTTACTTTTAGATGTGTGTTTTAGAAACGAACGTGACGAATGTTTTTAGTGAGCTGCTAATTTTCCTTTGAATCACAATTTCTTTTATGAGCATGTAATATAGCTTCTGCATTTAAGGTTGGAAACCAACTCAGTGAAAAATTACCTTTGCTCTCTCTCCTGGTTGAAGGTTATATTGAAACACATGCTTGCATTTCCTTTGGGTTAAGCACATGCTTAGTAACGATGCGTGAATCTGGGATACAGATCTTACAATAGTAAATATTGCCATCAAGTTTTCCCCAAATTCCCATCCCAAAATACACCTCATTTTCACATGACTGGATCTTACTGTGTCATCAAGTGCAAATTTATTCAAAAAAAAAAAAAAAAGGTGAAGCAACATGGAGATCATCAGTTTTAGAATTAAAAGTAGCCCAGGAATATGCATGCTGGTGGAACTTCAACTCAGTTATGGGATACTAAACAAACACCTGAAGTTTCCTGGCACTGCTTATAAACTAGCAATTTATTTTCAATTGCATGCAATGGCCTTTTTTTTTTTTTTCTTTTTTCTTTTAAGGCTTTGGCACCATGTTGAGTAAATAAAGTGCATATTAAAATACCATCTAAATACAGCATGGGTATACAGTCATCAGAGAAATAGGAATAGTTTCAGAAGGAGTCATTCTGGTCTCTTGAGGAAATAAGCCGTGATTTATAACTCTTTTTAAAAAGTTGTTTGAAAGACAAAATTGAATTTTAAAAGAAACTTGTTTAAATAACGCTCAGGTTGTAATAGAAGTGGGGGAAAACGAGCAAATGCAAAGTCCAAGCTGACTCTTGAAATTATGCTGCATTAGTCTTCAATTAGAATTCCCAACTTTTTTTTTTTGTTCTATGTCAGAGCCATAAGGTTATTAAAATTGCATGTTCTGTACCACATTTCATTTAGATATTAAAAGCAGCCCTTCCGAGCCGTCCGTTGGGGTCAGCAATAGTGTCATTCTTACATCCCTTGCTTGAAACCTGGAGCTTCTGCTAAACATCGGACATACTGGTACCTAAACATCAATGAATAAACCAAATGCATTTATTTATCATATAGATTATAAACTCTAGGTGCACTGACAATCTGTAGACAAGCACTTAAAATATCAGATCCACGAGCAAATCCCTGAATACAAATACAACGGAACACCCCACCCCCCTCCACCGCGATACTTTTCCACTCCATTCCTTTCCCAGCCCATTCAGTGCAAAATGCTTTTTGAACAGCATAATATAACATTTATTTTCTCCATGTGACTGGAAAGACCTAGCAGCTGAGACATTAACAGTTATCTTTTATAGCAAGCCGTACTTACCCTGAGCCTCTACTGAGTCTCTAGGTGGCCCTCGCGGCGTTGGCATTTGGCTGCTTTCCTGCCTAGTTGTGTGGTCTCAGGCAGAGCGGATAAAGCCGTCCAGGACGGTGCCCTTGGTTTCACATATGTTTCTTGGGTAGTAACACAAGCGGGACTCTCAAACGCTAATTTGTGCCTTCCTGATAAAAAGAGTCAAATAAGGGATACAACCGCAGCATTCCAAGCAGGTAGAAGACACCAATGTCCTCAGGTTTTTTTTGACAGTTCTTCCCCTTTTTAATGCATGTGCCTCTTTGCAGTTCTGCTGGTTTATGGGGTTTTTGCAAGCAGTCATTCATTTCTGGTGGTTTCTTCCCCTGAGAGCCCCATTCCCCGATCTCTCTCTCTTGCTGCCTCATCCCTTGCTTTCCAGAATAGTGTGGAGACCGCGGTACTTCTGGAAGGGGGGAAAGTGTGACGGCTGATGAGTTTCTTCCCGGCTGGTCGACGTCTTGAGCTGACTGAGCAGCCAAAAGAGCTCAGAGCTTTGGGAAGCAGCAGAAATGGTGGAATAAGGGAGGCAAGAAAGTCTGTTCCTACGCTACTAATTATGTTTGGAGCAGGGGTGCCATTTTGAAGAACCTGACAGTCTCCACTTACTGCTCTTCTTGAAGTGTTTTTTTGCGTGTGTATCCCAGCTACATTCTTTCCTGATACTGATACCTCACGATCCTTAATGTCATATATGAAACTCTGCTGTCCTCATATGTCCTTTCAGTATCATGCTGTATATAATGAATACATTTCACAGATCTGAAAAATTCTTAACAGTGTGACTGCACCTGCGTAACTTCTGTCAAGGATTCAGAGTAGTGCGTGAGAAGGTGAAATTCCAGATTAATATCTTTTAACCTCTACCTAAATATTCTTTCATGTTAGTGGCCTATCTTGTCGCACACCTCTTACCTTAAGCTTCATTACACTCAGATGCATTGGACCAATTCTGAGGGGCAATGTGACAGAGCTTGGGATGCTGTAATTCAGAAAACAGGTGGATATAGGACGCGCATTGTATTCTGGCTCTATATTATGCAAGTAGCTGTACAAAGCTTCAGAGTCTGAATAAGGAACACATAGCTACACTGGATCTCCTGAGTCAAATTGTTTAGCCTCCTGGTATTGCAGATAGCTATGTCGTATAAATCCATGTGTAGCATGAAATCCGTTTGTCCACCAGTGTAAATCAGGAGCAACATTCCTAATGCCAGTGAGCTATAAGAAGGGAATGAGACCTCTTGACTAGGATAAAATACATGGAGAAAAGAGCTGGAGAAAGACTCATGCTGCACAGAATGAAATTCTGTTCGGACTTACTTTAGCCTCTGACTTTCAATCACCATACATTAAAGCTTTTATCGCTTGGTAATTTGGAAACAGCTTTCAGCTGCTAAAGGCTAAATGCTTACCTTTTATAAGCACGCGCGTGCACACTCACCTATTTCTTTTATGGAACTGAAAATTTACTGCATGCCTGATATCTGAAATCCACAACTGTGCTTTATTCCCTCCACTTCCTCCATATAGGATGGTCCGCACACTGTATGCCGTCGGTGCTGTGTTTCTTCTGATGGGATTTCTGCTACCAGCAGCTGAAGGGAGAAAGAGGAATCGTGGATCTCAAGGTGCTATCCCTCCTCCTGACAAAGATCAGCCCAATGATTCGGAGCAAATGCAGACACAGCAGCAGTCGGGCTCTAGGCATCGAGAACGAGGAAAAGGCACCTCGATGCCTGCCGAAGAGGTGCTGGAGTCTAGTCAGGAGGCATTGCACATCACGGAGCGCAAATACCTAAAGCGGGACTGGTGTAAAACACAACCCCTCAAACAAACTATCCACGAAGAAGGCTGCAACAGTCGTACCATTATCAACAGGTTCTGCTATGGCCAGTGCAATTCCTTCTACATCCCCAGGCACGTCCGTAAAGAGGAAGGCTCCTTCCAATCTTGTTCCTTCTGCAAGCCCAAGAAATTCACCACCATGACTGTTACACTCAATTGCCCTGAGCTTCAGCCCCCAAGAAAGAAG